AGGAAGATTAGCCCTGAGCTAACATCTGTGCCAGTCTTCCTCTATTTTGTATGTGGGACGCTGCCACAGCATGGCTTGATGAGCAGTATGTAGGTCCACGCCCAGGATCCGAACCCACAAACCCCGGGCCGCCGAAGTGGAGTGTGCCAACTTAACCACTATGCCACAGGCCAGCCCCCACAGCAAAACATTTTAATTACAATATTTTAAAGCAGCCCTGGGCAGGGGAGAAAACAATATCCACATACAGCTAGCAAATGCAGCAACAAAATAGTATATCTACAAGGAGAATGGGAGTAGGAAAAGGAGGAGAGAGGGGAGTAAGAGAAGATAGGGGAAGACATAACAGCAGACGGAATGACTCTGGCTCAGAGGGAGGAAAAACTGCTCTCAAGGAGCTGAGAGTGAAAGACACACAGTCTGGCCCCTCGGGAACCTCGTCCTCTCCCCATCACTCCTTCTGGGCAGAGGGGGGAGAGGCAAGCCTGTGCTCATTAGCAAGACAATCTGCAAGATATAGAAGTGAGCTTAATATGGTCTCTCCACTCAAGGAGTAGCTGATAAGACAAACAAGCTGAACCATAACGACAGCAGAAGGCAGAATCTAAGCGTTTCTCACTAAGGTAGCTGAAAGGGGGTTTACAGCTTCATTTAGAATTAGAGTAGAGAGCTGATGACTCTCTACTCTAGAGAGTAGAGTAGCTACGTGGGGAAAAAGAGAAGTTGGAAGGTTAGTGAGTAAAAATGCAATGTATCCATTAGTTTAAAAATTAAATTGTGTTCTAAAAATCCAGATTAAAAGAATATATACATATATAAAACTTGCAAGTTGAAATGAGCGTATGTCAAAGCCAAATAATTAAATGCAAACTCCCTTTACTTATGTGCCAAGATCTGAGCTCATAGCTCTGGATAAATAACAAGCCATAGTTCATCGACCTGTTTGGGTATTAATGAGCTCATCAAATTTTTTTCAACAATTACAGACATTGCTGTACTTGGAAAATGGTAAGTAGAAAGTCAAGAGAACACTAACGTTTCTCTGCTAGTGTAAGTCTACATTTAGGCATGATTTTGTAAATTAAAATGTCAGATGTATTTATTTTGAGATTATCTAGAGAGATTCAATTTCGCATTTCACATACTTTTAATATCCTTTCGTGTCTCCATATAAAACATTTATCTGCGTCAAAAACCTTGAAATCATTTGTAGATATACTTTTCCTTTTATTGGCTATGTTAAGAATATTTACCTGTGGGAACTATAAGAATTCCAAGCAATTTACTGTCTGGCCAAAAGTATCACATTTGCACATGATTTATTGATGAATAACTTGTGCAAGCTTAAGTAGCACTTCATCAATAAATGTTTTCCTTAGCTGTTCTGGGACAGAAATAGTGCATCCCTTTTTGGCCAATATTATATGGACTTCTAAATAGTTGAGAAACTCAAGATAGTTATTCAATAATTAGACTAAAATGAGAAACTCTCTTTGCCATGTTTACTGGGAAGATATTATTGAGGATGTCATTCACTACCTCACTCCCTGTCTGCCCCATTAAGTCCTCAGGGAGAAAATTCTTTCTGCTCTTAGCACCAGGATCAGTTACACTCACTGGCAACTGTATTAACTCACTGGATTTCCCTCCTTTTATTGGTTGCTAGAAAACTTAAAGCAAAAGTCGAGGGCCACCTGGGCAAATCAATAAGATTCCACGCCATACATTTTCTATAGTAATAATATATGCAATAGAAAGAATTATTATTGCCAACAGGTACTGAGTACTTTATGCGAAGCACTCCATGCGTGTTAGATTTCAGTTAATATTCATATAATCCTAAAATATGAGAACTTTTACTTTGCCCTCTTGACCAATGAGGAAACTGTAGCTTAGAGAGGTCAGTCAACGCCCCCAAGGCCACTGAGCTGGTAAGGAGCAGAATCCCGCCTCAAATGAAGTCTTTCTGCCATCCAAGATCACGCTTCTAACTGTTAGTCATTCTGCCTTCTGGCCTATCTGATGCTTCTGACCCTTTGAATGTTTTATTTCCTTTTACTAATGAAAAAAAGTTAATAGACCAGAATTCACTGGATAAACACCAGGGCTCTTCCAATCTTCTTCCAAAAGGCCATGTCCGAGCCCCAAGGCCTGTCTGGCTGCAGCTGCTCAAGTACTGCGTGGCAAAGTTCACTGCCCATTTTTTCCCCAGATGACATGCTCTTTACATGTAGAGGAGACGAGATCACGGGCAGCTCTGTGGTTCAGTAAAGGAGCAGAGGTACTGTCAGGAAAGTCTCCTGAGTCTGGACATTGCTGCTGTGTTGGGCTGGGCCACCAAGTTGATTGTATGGTTTGCACATAAAGATGCCCGCCAAGGGGGTGTGCAGGACCCTGGGGCCTCAACTCCAGCCTGTGCTCCACGCTACTGTTTCCAAATTCCTGACAGACTTATATCTTCAAGATTCTGGAACAAGAAATCGGAATTCCCAGAAATTCTCAGGAATTCCTGAAATCATAAGTTATTCCATGGTTTTCCCTAAATTTTATTTATATGTCTTTAAATAATAATGCTGACCATAATAGTGAATCATTTCCATAATAATAAACAGTGAATCATTTTCTGTGATAAAGATGCTAAAAATTCCAGAGGTTTTCTGTAAAAAAAATAAAAATCTATATATATTGCAATAACATGTAAAAATGATCTCCATCTGATATTTAATAAGAAAAAACACTAAAAGAGGGGAACATTAACACAAAATAAATGCCAAATAAAAGTCTTTTTAAAAGTTGAAAGATGATATAAAAACATTTACTATTTATAAGATATTCTTAACATGAAATTTTAAAACACACACAGCATTAATTGTCCTTTCCCATAGTCTTGATTTTTGTTTCATGACAAATATTCCAGATGTACAAAAAACAATTCTTTCATTTTGCATTTATATTGGTCAAATTGTTAAGAGGCTTCCAAAAGCATAGCCAAAGTGGGCGCTAGGGCTTGCTTTACACAAGCTCGTTTCCTTTTTTAATGATGAAAATATTGTATCTGCTTGCCCTGATGCTAGCTTGGCCATTGAAATCTATGTTGTTTTTGCTAATTCAGATTTTTCAGATCACTTTCTGGTTTCATGATGGACTGTTCCACAACACACTTTCACATCTTTTTCTCTTTGCATTTCTTCTGTTAAATTACTTACAAAGAACAAATTGTAATACATAATATATATAATATAGCGAACATTCGAACACTGAAAAAATGCCAGCAAACCTTATTGGGTACATCCAAATAACATAACATTCAGATCTCTTAGCAAGCTTGACAAAGCTACATAGAATCACAGGTCAAAATTTCAAATTTAAAGACGTATTTTGCTTCCAAAATTTGTTATTTCTTGGAACACCACTAACAGGATTTGTATCAAGTATACTATGCATATAAACTTAATAGTACTTGGTTTTGCAAGAATGACTCGCCGTTAGCCGCAGACACACATTTAAAGCAGAGCAACAGCTCTGAGCAAGGCTGACGGATCAGACCATGACCATCTCTCCCCTACTCGCTCCTGCCCTGATGCCTGGAAACGCTTACCTTCACCTTTGACTCCGCTGTTGGCCTATTTTTTCTTTTCTTTTTTTCTTTTTAACTTTATTGATGAATAATTGACAAATATAATTGTATATATTTAAAGTGTATAGTGTGATGATTTGACATACATATACATTGTGGAATGATCACCAAGATCACGACAATCAACTCCTCTTGCTCTCCATGATGTCAGGAGATTCCTTCAAACCAGTAACATCTTTATGATAAGTATTAAATTTTAATTCTCGAAAGAGAATTAGAATACTTTTTCTTGTTTTCCCAATTTCTTGACTAATTTTTCTTGGGATTCAGGAAAACATACAATTTTTCCTGAGAAATGCTGGGAATTGCAGCTGAGGCCAAGTCCATCAGAAGAAGAGGGAATAGTTTTCTTGCAGGAAAAACTCTTTTGGCTCACTTATGCCTGCAATGCTGAGTCTGCGCAGAGGGCCTTTGTCAAACTCACAAATATGTGCATATAGGCTATCTTACTTGTCAGTTTGGGATGACCTCAAAGGCACAGAAAAAGTACCCTTTAGCAATTTATGAGTCACATAAATATCTGTAAATATACAAAGCCACTGACAAATGCCCTTGACTGATTTGACCAAAAATCAGGAAAAGGAGTAGGCCAACATAAGGTAAGTCAAAATGTTGTTTTCACAAGTATTTCTGGACTACAGCTTTAGACATAGCCTAGACATTATCAATATCAGCTATTCAATATCAGAAATTAATATTAATCTGGGTTTTGGTAAATCATTTTCCTCCCCCCTCCCCTCCCCCCATTTGAGTACTTAAATACAACATTATATGGGCTGGTTATTATGTAAAATTGTTCTCACACACGTTATCTTATTTAAGAGAGTAACAGAAATAGACCAATACATATTTTAAGCACCTACAATGTATCAGACACTATGCCACACGTTTCAAATTTGTTTTCTCAATCCTTAAAATAATCCTATAGGATAGGTATTAATTTTATTCCATGGGTTGAGAAAAATAAGGCTCAAAGCCATAACTTTTCAACAGCCACACTACATAAGTGATACAACCTAAAATTTAGTTTAAGTCCAACTTCAAAAATCCATGCTCTTTCCACTACACCATAATGCAAATCACAAAATGGCAGCAAGTCACAATATGTGGTGGCTGCCATGGCCCACTGCCCACTCCCCCGCCAGGGGAGAGGGCTGGCACCTGGCAGCCTGGCTACTCCATGAGGACTAACCTCATTATCCTCAGGGTAATAAGATCTTCCCCTGTGCACACTTAAATAATAACGGGGATGCTTACTACCCTTATTTGAAAGAAACATATAATAAACTTGGAAGCAGAATATACATTTTGGGAAAGGATTTAAAATAAACATCACAAACATAAGCCAAAAGGTCTGTCTTACCTTTAAATATTTCACCAGCTTCTGAATTTGCCAATATTCTGACGGCAAATCTGCATTTGCTTCCTGACGATGATCAGGTGGTTCTTCATCTTCCTCACTCTCTGAGGAGCTCTCACTAACGATTTCCTCAATCTTATCAATACTCTTTCTAAGAACAGGAACAACAACATGTAATAAATATATCTGTGCTACCACATGGACATGGTTATAATGTTAACATATCAGCAACATATACATAAGCAATAGATAAGATACCAACACCTTCTGAGTTCTAGAAGATCTTTGTTAAGATCTGTGTGAGGAGATGAATAAACTCATGTCTCTATAGCAGGCACAGTTCAGTATTATTGCTCTGGGTGCAAACATAATAAAGAAATAGTAAGAGATGAACAAGAAAATTAAGTAAATGTCCTAAGGCTGTGCTGTACAATAAGGCAGCCACTAGTCATAGTGGTTAAATAACTTGTGGTTATTTACATTTGCATTTATTTATTTAATTAAAATTGAATACAATTAAAAATTCAGTTCTGCAGTCTCACTAGCCATATTTCAGATGCTTGATAATCACAGGTGGCTAGTGGCTACCATATTGGACAGCTCAGATATAAGCCATTTCTATTATCACAGAAAGTCCAGTTGGGCAGTGCTGTAAATGCCCTAAAGGGAAAGAGTCTCCCTTACCAAAGGGAGTACACTTTATTCCTCACTGCTCTGGAAGCTTCTAACTCAACGTCAAGGTCCTGGACACAGGCTAGCTCACTCAAAACTTCAAGATCATATCTAATTCATTCTCATTTTCTTTCTTTCTCTCCCTCCTCTCCTCTCTACAACCCCTCCAATGCTCTCTTCCGTAAAAGTCTTTTCTAATCTACTCCATTCGGAAGCACAGTCGGAGGATGGATAATTTTCAGGTTTTATTAATTTTTAAGATTCTATGATTCTCTCAATTTCTCGAAGGTTTTTTGACACAGGGAGCGTGCAGATTGTGCTCTCTGGGCCACAGTGGAGTGAAATCCTGAACGGAAGCGCCTGCTCCAATTCAACAAGCCACATGAGCTGAGTTTCAGTTTCACGTACTCTCTTGTCCAAAAGATGTCAGGAAACCTGGATCGGTCACAGAGGAAAATCCCATAGATCAGGTCTACTTAAGAAACGATGTGAATTTACTCAAAGGTCTTAGATTGAAGCATATACTAAATAAACCTAAATTCTCTGGGGAAACTCTAAATGTACCTTCCCTTCCCCTAACCAGCCCCCAGAGTTGAGGGCAGAGTGCATTATGTTTACCCAATCACTCTAAGATCACATACACAAAAAATCAGTACCCTGAAGGAAAGCTGTTCTTCTTTTCCACTGATGAATCCTTTTGACATCTAACTTTAAACTTCTTTCTCTATTTGATACCCTTCCTGTCCTGTCCCACAGCAACTATACATTCAGGAGGTAAAAAGAAGCAAATTTCAATGTTTAATTAATCTATGAACTCCACCTTAAGAAATACTTCTGTATCACATCATTATATCCACTTAAGCAAGAATAGACAGAGCGAAGTTATAATTTTTACCACTGAGTAATAGTTGTTGCTTAGATACATTACAACTTTACCATATCTAGTACCCTGAAGTTCTCTGACTCACTAAAATCTGATTTAAAATTGAAATACTTTAGGTCAAACATCTATTTCAGGAATGATGAAGTTGATTTCCTTTTCCCTATTCCTCCCACTAAGTACAGCTAAAAATCCTGGATATTATATATAAAACAAACATGAGATGGCTCTGACAGATAGAGAGAAGAAAGAAGACCATCTAGGAATCTGGGGACCTGGGGAGCAACATAATGGTGATTTCCGTGGATTTTCTCTCTGTCTTGTATATCCCAGCCTGGGCACCAGAGAAGCCAGTGATGCAGAAACTCCAGTGGGCGCAGAGGAAAAAGAAAAGCCTGCTCTTTCTGGTCAAAGAACCAGGAAAGGAAGAGCCTAACAAGACAGAAAACTTTTAGATAACAAATGGTCTGCTCCAGACGACATCACAGAAAACCCTGTGGCCTACCCCCACTTCCACTAGCAAAGGCCAAGTGGAGAGTCTGGTGTTCTACTTCTACTAACTGTAGCAAAGGGCCCAAACTGCCCTGCTGGGTGGTGTCAGAGGAGGCCTAATGGACAGTCACAACTTGCAACCCACCAACCCCCACTGACAAAGTAACAAAGGGTCCCCCTGCTCACATCCAGGCTGGTAGCCACAGAGGCCTAGGCAGAGCCTGAACTCCCACCACCACCCAGAAATAACGAGGAGCTCCTCACCCACCTCCCCAGGTGTCAACGAAGGCCTATTGGAACACCTGCAATTCCTCTCCAACCTAGGGAGGCACCATACACCTTATCCCACCAATGTGGTATCACAGGAGGCCTGCCAAACCTAAGATTTAAATAAGATCCGGAGAAATTAAGAGAATCATAGAATCTAAAAAATTAATAAAACTTGAAAATTACCCATCCTCCTACTATGCTCCAAAATGGAATAGACTAGAAAAGACTTTCATGGACGAGAATACACAGGAGGGTTGGAGAGAGGAGAGGAAGGAAGAAAAATGAAAAATAGAAGGAACAAACAGAAAACAATATATAAAATGACAGATGTAAGCCCTAACATATCAATAACTACATTAAAGGTAAATGGTCTAAATACACCAATTAAAAGACAGAATTTGACTTAGTGGACAAAAAAAAAAAAACGAAACGCTGTTTACAAGAAAGTCATTTCAAATATAAGAATACAGGCAGTTTGAAAGTAAAAAGAGGAAAAAAATATAACATGCGAAAGAAAGCAGACGTAGCTATAGTATATTAATCTACGAGTAGATTAAGTAGATATCAGAAAAAAGAAACTACCAGGGACACAGAGGAATATTACATAATGATAAAAGGGTAATCCACCATGGAGACACAGCAATCCTAAGTATGTATACAGCAAACAACATGAAGTAAAAGCAGAACTAAAAGGAGAAACAGAAAAATCCACAGTTATAGTTGGAGACTTCAACATCCCTCATCAATTGATAGAACTAGACAGAAAATAAGCAAGGATACAGAAGAAATCAACACCACCAAACAAAATGATTTAATCCACATTTACAGAACACTCGACCCAACATGAGCAGAATACACATTCTTTTCAAGCACCCAAAGAACTACCAAGATATCCTGGGCCATATAAAATGTCAACAAATATAAAAGAATTGCAATTATATAGAGTATGTTCACTGCCCACAACGGAATCAAACTAAAAAATCAATACAGAAACAGAAAATCTCCAAGTACCTGGAGCCTAAACAACACACTTCTAAATAATCCATGGGTCAAGAAAGTCTCAAGGGAAATTAAAGAACACATCAAACTGAATGAAAATGAAAATACAACAATTGGTGCAGCCACTATGGAAAACAGTAGGGAGGTTCCTCAAAAAATTAAAAATACTAATTAGCCATATAAAAAGAAGAAAATCCTGCCATATGCAACAATGTGGGTGGACTTTGAGGGCATTATGCTAAGTGAAATAAGTCAGAGAAAGACAAATACTGTATGATCTCACTCACACGTGGAATCTAAAAAAACAAAGCACCAAACTCATAGAAAAAGAGATCAGATTTGTTGCAGGGGGTGGAGAGTGGGAGAATTGGAGAAAGGGGGTCAAAAGGCCCAAACTTCCAGCTATAAGATAAATAAGTACTGCGGATGGAACGTACAACATAATGACTATAATTAACACTGCTGTACGGTATATTTGAAAGTTGCTAAGAGAGTAAATCTTGAGAGTTCTAATCACAAGGAAAAAAAATTCTATCTGTAATTATATGAGGAGACGGATGGTAACTAAACTTATTGTGGTAATCATTTTGTAATATATGTCAAGTCATTATGCGGTACATAAATAAACAGAGAGACATACCGTGTTCATAGATTGGAAGACTATACATAGTAAAGATATCAATTCTCCCAAAATTAATATAGAGGTTTAAAGCAATTTCCATAAAAATCCTCAGTAAGATTTTTTGGGGGGATATAGCAAGATTATTCTAAATTTATGTGGAAAGGAAAGGAACTAGAATAGCTAAAACAATTTCTGGAAAAACAAAAGAGAAAAAGAGTGAGAAGAATCACTTTACCAAATTTCAAGATTTACTATGTAGCTATAGCAATCAAGACTGTTTGGGGCCGGCCCCGTGGCTTAGCGGTTGAGTGCACACGCTCTGCTACTGGCGGCCCGGGGTTCGGATCCAGTGCGCACCGACGCACCACTTCTCCGGCCGTGCTGGGGCCGCATCCCACATACAGCAACTAGAAGGATGTGCAACTATGACATACAACTATCTACTGGGGCTTTGGGGGAAAAAAGGAGGAGGATTGGCAATAGATGTTAGCTCAGAGCCGGTCTTCCTCAGCAAAAAGAGGAGGATTA